ACGGTTCTGATCTCTGGTTAGTGAAGGAAGCTGGAGATCGGACCCGATTAGATCTTGCCGGTTTACGTTCTCCGGTTTAATTCCTAATTCATTCTGCTTCACAGTCTCTGCCTTCTGCAGTAAAGGCGGATTCTTAATCTCAGCCGGAGGAGGAGGAGGAGCTGCGGCGGCATCAGGCGTCTTTGCCTTAGTATCCGGTGGCGCAGGAGCTGCCGCATCGGGTTTTTTCTCGTCTGGTTTAGCTTCTTTCTTAGGTTTCTCCTCTTCTTTTTTATCTCCTTCCTTCTTCTCCTCTGTTTTCGCCTCCTCTGTTTCTTTCTTCCCCTCCTCTGCTTTTGGATTCTCCGGCGCCTTCTCTACCGTCGCAGCTGCAGCCTCAGGTTTCTGCTCCGTCGCCGGTGGATTCTCATCGACGTAGTACGCTTTTAATCCAATCTCACCTTTGATCTGAGAGAAAACGCTCCTTTTCTCAAGCGGATAGTAAACAAGAGTTTCAGATCCAGCCGCCGCAAACGAACTTCCGGCGATCTTAACCTTCCCGAGAAACGTGCTCCGTTTTCCCGTCTTCTTGTCGTTGCAAAGATTGATCTCAAGAATCTCCTCCCCCATAGTCGCCGTGTCGTGGACGAAGAACTCGAGCTTCTCGTCCCATTGTGGATTCAGATCTCGGAATTTCGTCTTCGTCCGTCGCCGTTGGCCGTCAAAATCTACAATTGCGTAAGCGCTCGCCGTGCCTTGACCATCCTTAGGCATCAGATTTCTTGCGCTACAGATCTCAACAATCAGCTTCCTCAGAACAATGTCCGCCATTGTTTCCTTCTCGGAGAAAATTGAAGCTGATCAGATTTTTTCTTGCGATTGAAGAAGATGAATGAGACTGTTCAGTTTCTTTTGAAAGAGAGAGAGAGAAATAAAGTTTGAATTTTTTATTGTCTAGAGAGAAAGAGAAAGCACTGTTTGTGTTCGACGCTCGAGAGTGAAGGTTTAAAAAGGGGTTGGAGGTAGAGTCACGACACGTCAGTAATGACACGTCGGATAATATGCCACGTGATTTGACATTAGAGGACGAATCTTATTTTATTTTTCTTTTTAATGCTTTTTTGAATAAAATAATTGGTTCAGGTGTGTCTGAACACCGTGCTTGGTGCTGCTGTGGAATCACATATTAAACGAAAAAGAAAAGAAAATACCATATTCTGAAAAAAATCATGAATTTTTCTTGGTTTTCATTTGTTAATAAATCTTTTCTACAATTTAGAAATCGGGAGATTACTGGTGGTGATGCATTTTCAACCTTCCGCGTTGATATATGAACAAAATGACAAATTATTTTATAACGTTACAAATTAATTAATGAACTCATATTGTTTGAGTCTAAACTTACGTTATGCATTAATTAATGTAATCTCACCGAATTCAAACACAAGAACGCTTTAATTTTTATGTCAAAATTTACAAACATAATTTTGTTTTTCAGTGGAAATCTTTGATGTCAAAGTCTTTGACGAATTAAAAGAATAAGAGGCCATTAAATATCCTCATTGACGTTTATGAATGCTAATTTATACACAATATAACCAAAGAGGCAGAGAAATGTGGATATTACTTATTAGTGAGTAGGTAAATAAATTATAAATCACGAAATTTTAGCTGCAAGTCATGACACAACCTCAACCGCTTCTGTTCGTGAATGACCATATCTCTTGATTCATTCTCAATCCATGATAACTCTTCTTTTATCTCCTGAATAGCTCTGTAAGTCGAGTAGTTGGAGTATATATGAGTGATTTTAACATGTGACGTGAAGCGGATATATAGCAAATCAACGCCTATCACGAAAAATGTTTCTTATTATGTAAACATGAAATGTTTGCTTGTAATTGTATGGCCGGTAAAATATTATTCATGTATTTGCAAAGGAGAATCTTTTCATAAATGTAAACCGCAATGAGAAAGTTAAAACACACAAAAAGCAGAATATTTGCAGTCGTACGAACTCGAACTTTGAATTGCATGATTTTTTTTTTTTTTCAATCACACGTTTTATTTGTCTCTATGTATTTCTGGATGTACTTGTTATAACACTGATATTATAGAATCTACATATAGTACTTGTACATCAGAAGCCGTTATTCTTGTTCCAATATGCCCACGTGCACGGCACACATATTCATCATGTACATATCTTTCATGTCTATAAGTAGTAGTACTTTTTAATTATAATTTTCAGTGAAAGTTTGGAACTACTCAGTTCTTACGAATCTTATCAAAATAAATTAATTTAAATCCGTACGTAAATCCTGACCTTTTAAAAATTTGGACCAACATTTTATAATACAACTGACGTATTTATAAGATATATACATGCATAATGCACAACAATAAATTAGGTATGAATAAGTATTTGGTGTCTCACTTTCACCGGGTGAGTAAAGTATTATTGGTTAAGTAATTTCCTTTTATCAAGTTTTGTGTCTGGTAGGTTTAAAAAATAATCTCATTGCCACAATGGGAGAAGAAGCTTTCATTTAAAGCAAACAACTTTAGTAGATCGAGATTTATTAAAATTTGAACAAAGATCTTCGGAACAAAAACATCAGAGGATCTTGATGATTTGGCATTAAAGTGACATTTACCCATAGTTTTTTTTCTTTCTAAATCTCCTTTTTTATTATTGTAAATACTCGATAGTCCCTTTTTCCATAATTAATAAATATGAAATATCCCAACTTGCTTTACTTTTAGTTTGCCTGCTCTCTGCAGAAATGAACGTTGCTTTGTTTTCGTGTTTCTTGCAGCGACATAAAGATAATGGATTTTTCAAAACAAAAAGATATTGAAATAAATATAAATATAAAGACTAGCCTGTTCTATAACTTTTCTTCATGCATTTGTTTCTCAAAAATAAAAGTATAATATACTGTTTTCCACATATTGCCTCGCATTGGTCTCTGTCAGATATGTTTTCTCCAACGGTATTTATTTCGTATAAAACTATTTTCCTTTTGTTTGTTTCATATGGGCTTCATCAATAAATAATAAAATTATAGTTGAGCTTTGATCATTGTTTCAGTTTTTCGAGTTGCTCAACACTTTGAACCAAAAACAAAACCAGATTCTCTGGATCAGCCATGTCAGATTTGATCATGTTGGGTCGGGTCGGTAATGATAAATTCAAACTTGGCCCAGCCCAATGTACTTAAAGAGCGGGCTTCACCTTAGCATGTTAAAAATTACTTAATACTTCAATTAATGTTCACTTAATGTTAAGCCTTTCAGGTGATTAGGCTTTGAGATGCTAATATTTTACAATAATTTCATGTAATCAAACTTATATTTTTAATTTATGTTAAACAAAAATATAAAACGTTTCATTTATGGATCCGTGAGGATGGGAACCATATGAGACTCATCATCGGCGTCTGCAACTATTTTTTAATCAGCAAAATCCATTATTTTAAAGATTATTGATGTGAAGACGAGTCCCTAATTAATTAAACCGCCTAGTAGTAGCTATTACGGTATAAAGACATCCAACCAGGGCAATCAAACTCTTTTTTTTTTGGTCAGGGGGCAATCAAACTCTATATATATATAATCATGTTAGAAATTGCGTAAGGTATGCTAATGTAACGTCATACCCATATGCGTAAGGTATGCTAATGTAACGTCATACCCATATCTGCGAGCCCTCGCCATATATACATGAAAATAACCGAGTATTTATTTTATCAACTTGAGCAGTATATAACAACTAATGAACCATTTGGTCCATTTTCCATAAACACATGACCAGATTCAACTATTTTATAGAACAAACAAAGAAGAAGTTGCAATTTTCATCAAGTCAAAGGTAAGGCTCTTTAAACCCTATCTACTTTAATATTTGTAATTAATTAATGGGCATGTCACATTACCTCCTAATTTGTTTTTTTTTTTTTTTTTTTTGCAACGACGACAACTTCTTTACACAAATCTCTACGAAATATATATGCTTTGGTCTTATAAGTACAATCATGAAAGTAACCAATAATATATATATATATATATAAATATATATGAAATTTTCATAATCGCTTAAAACAAACAAAAAAGTGTTTTTTTTTTGTATGGAGGAGATTAAGAACGAGTCTTTGCACTAAATTAACTCCATGTTGATTTACACTTAGTCGTATGATGGCTCATTTATCTTCTTCTTAATTAGGACACTTGTTATTTTTTATGTAGATAAATTTGATTGTTTTGTGTCGTTGACTAATATTAAATCATACTAGTAACAAGATTGTCTAAAACTATAGTCTATCTCGTAGTATATCTCAAGAAAATTTCAAAAGATCTAATTCCTAGAACAAGTAGTTCTCGAGAAAACTAAGCCTCATATAACTAATCATAAGAACATTTAGTTACCTTCTTGCCATCTAATCGGTTTATACCGGATTTATAAAATCAGTTACTTACAATCCCATTATCCTAGTCAAGTTAGTGCATCAAAATATATGATCTATAGTAATATTAAAATACGATTTGTTGATGCCTGATGAGATGATGATGATGGCTCATACGGTTTATTTTAAATGACTTTCATTCTAGAAAAAAAATACACATCGTATCAACTGGATGTTGATATCATATTGTGCTCATCCGTAATGGGATTTCAATCCGTAACTAATTGACGATAAATAGATTAACTCATATCTCTTTACTATATATTTTTCATCTTGTTTCCAATGTAGAATTCTAATTTGAATCACTTAGTTACATTCATTTCCATTTCCTAGTAGCCGTATATCGTAAATATATAACTAAGTATATCATAAGGCAGCTGAATGTTTCAAAGTAGTCCATACGTACGCCTTTTGGGTTTATATATAAATTTACCTCTCTTAATTTATATATATATATATATATATTTGACTGACCTAGTCGATATATACAAGATATATTAATTTTCTATATAGACGGTCCATTTTGGCGTATTTATATAGTAATGGTTTATCTAATTAAGAGGTATCATTTACCTTTCTACAAGAACATAGCACTATTACAAAAACAAGATGAAGATTGCAAAGTTTTCTGTTCTACTCTTGATTTTATTTATTTTCCCCGTGGCATTAGCGCAGCTAAAATTCGGGTTTTACAAAGAATCGTGCCCTGATGCAGAGACAATCGTACAAAACCTGGTCCGCCAGCGTTTTGGTAGTGATCCTACAATCACTGCCGCCTTGACTCGGATGCATTTTCATGACTGTTTTGTCCAGGTATGAATCTCATCAAACATCAGCTTTAATTTTAGTATCATCTTTAATTTTAGTATCATTAGTTATTTTGTGTTTGTTTGTTATTGGCTTAAGTATCGTTAGGTTTATTAGAAGAGATGCAATCAAAGAGAACTATGTAAGAAATTATTCAATCGAGTTAAAAACAAAAAACCAGCAAAACTATATATAATTTTCTGAAAATTAAATCTTGTCTTTATTTATTTTTTTATCCTCTTTACTTGAATATTATTAAATATATGCAACGGTTTTTTAAAAGACAATATCTCGTTGACATTTCTCATAGGGCTGCGACGCTTCTCTCCTCATAGACCAAACGACGTCTCAATCATCGGAAAAAACCGCCGGCCCAAACGGTAGCGTGAGAGGGTTCGAGCTGATCGACGAGATCAAGACGGCACTCGAAGCTCAATGTCCCTCCAAGGTCTCGTGCTCCGACATAGTCACGCTCGCCACACGTGACTCCGTGTTCTTAGGCGGAGGGCCTAACTACACGGTCCCCACCGGACGTCGTGATGGCTTTGTGTCGAACCCTGAAGACGCCAATAGGATCCTCCCTCCACCATTCATCTCCGTCGAAGGTCTGTTAAGTTTCTTCGGCAACAAAGGAATGAATGTTTTTGATGCCGTAGCTCTTTTGGGGGCGCACACGGTTGGGGTCGCTTCTTGTGGTAATTTTATTGACCGGGCCACCAACTTTCAAGGAACCGGACTACCCGACCCATCCATGGACCCCTTTTTGGCTGGCAGGTAATTGAAATCGAGTTTAGCCGTGTTTACGTGATTAACTACTATAGATATGTGTTATATAGTTAATATCTCTCATATAGGCTAAGGGACACATGTGCGGTTCCAGGCGGCTTCGCGGCACTGGACCAGTCGATGCCAGTAAGGCCGGTCTCATTCGACAACTTGTTCTTTGGTCAGATCAGAGAGAGGAAAGGAATTTTGTTAATCGACCAACTAATCGCGACCGACCCGGCCACTTCTGGTGTTGTGTTTCAGTACGCGGCCAACAATGAACTATTCAAACGTCAGTTCGCAATCGCGATGGTGAAGATGGGAGCCCTTGACGTGCTTACCGGTTCAGCTGGTGAGATCAGGACGAATTGTAGAGCATTCAACTAAAGCTTGATAACCTGTTTCTAAACCTGATTATTGATTTTTTTCTTTTCTTTTCGCTTATGATGATGAATTGTGAATGGTGATTGTTTGCCTATATAATTATATGTATGTACGTATATCTTTAAAATAATGTTTGGTGAATCGATCTGATAACAACAATATGTTATGTTGGTACGAGATTTGAGTGAATTGTGATGTATTTTAGTTTATCTGACTCCAAAAACTAACTTCAGAGTTGTATCTTTTTCATGCTCAAGCACTTGGATACGTAATTTATTTTCCGGCTCTATCCAATTAATTTGAATTATAGAAAGATTGAGAAATTAAATCCTTTTTATTTGACCGGATTCCAAATTGAATCGGACGCAACACATGGAATTAAAATATAAAAAACTGAAGAAATGGTTAACTTGTGCGAGAAGTAACAGAAAAATAAAAAACCATTTCCTGTATACACATAACCAAATTAAAAATCAGCCACATATTGTGAATTTGTGATTATAATGTAGCATAACCAGGAAAGTCGTATATGTGGTTTTCTGAAAAGAAAAAGTCGTACTTTTTGTTATCTTATTGAATTTAGCTAGAATTCACGACTTCAAAACTCGTCTTAGAGTACGAATATGTTCATATGAGCCAGAAAAAGTCAACCCTAGCTCATTTGCTTAATAAAAAGTACTTTAATCTTTGACAATTTTTATTCTAGATCATATATATTGAAAGCATCATAAAATGACATCACCAACCATTAGACATCACAATTTTTTTTGTTTTTTAACCAACGTCAAGAATAATGTAACAAACAAAAAAAAATGTCAATGTTTTTTTTTTTTTTTTTGAGTGTGGGTCTTTTCAGGAAACTAATTAAAGGAGTAAGTCATTGGCTCATTGCATTGCATTAAATTAACCCCATCTTGGTATGTAATACGATTGTGGATCTTTTATTCTTTTCTTAACGCTTAAAAGGGTGTTATATATTGAATTTAAAGTTAAAACTATAAACTTTTATATGGATCTCGATTTTTTTGGACTGCATGTGCCCTAAATTTTATCTTTTAGTATCTTTTTTGTTTTTTAATAAGATCATTTGTAAAACATTTTTGATTCTATAACACTAAACATTGATATATATTTAAAATTCAAAATAAATAACGCATAATTTTACCTCACGTTGTTATTGAAAAGATAACACAAAGTTTATATCTGGATATTCTAATTAAAGAACTCAAATTCTCCATCCGTCCCATAAAGATAGATTTTTTAGAAATTTCACATTTTTTAAGAAATAATGTATTATAACAATTTTAACTTTTTAATATCTTAAAGAGTATATTATTTATTATTGTTTAATAAGAGTAAAATAGGTAAACTGTTTTAAATTTGACATTGAAAACACAAAACTTCTATCTTTGTGAGACAAATTTTTTTTCTAAAAAATTCATCTTTGTGGGACAGAGAGAATATATCAGTAAACAATTTTTTGTTAGGGATGTCTCCTGTATTTAAGTTTTGATTTATAATTGAGTAAAATATGAAGGAAACAAAACATAAGATATAAGATTGTCCAATAATTGAACTCATCTAACTTTCGGAATCATGCGGAAGTCTTACAAAAGAAATATCCAAAAGAAAAAATCAAAATTATAGAATTAGATGTAGAGTAAACAAATTATATAGTGTCAATGTCCAATTTAATTAGCTTACTAATATAAAATACTTATTTTATTTCTTAAATTTTTATTTCTTCAATATAGAAGCCAAATTGTGGAAGCCCCTTTGGCCCATTGGTTGACCAAAGGTTGATTAATGCTTCTACACTAAGAGGTCTGGGGTTCGAGTCCCAGATATTGCGATTTATTAACAAATTTGCAGATTAATGGAGGCAAGTGTGCAGGAGATCTCCAGCGATGTACAATTATAGCCGTGCGCCAGGATTCTACGCAGAGAAGGAAGTGTCGCTAGGTCGTGGATCATTGAAGGTATTCATCAAAATCATGAAGAAGGAAGTGTAGTCTGTCGTGGATCTACTAAGGATCGGTAGAAATTGTCAGTTGTAGAATCGTCTATGTAACAGTTCTCATAATTTGCAATTAATCTTAAATTTTTATTTCTTCAATATAGAAGCCAAATAAAATGCACTATAGATATGTTCAATATTTAGCAGCAAGCAGCTGACATTTTCCGAAATTTATAGTTTTTCACATAAATTTTACAGTGAATATATACGATAAAAGAGATTATTTTGACCAAATAAAATACGAGTTGAAACATACATCTTACCGACAATAAAAGATTAAAGATTCTGTCGATATCTACTTTTGTTCATAAATATTATTATCTACTTAAGGCACCGGAATGTTTCCCTTTGCGTTTATAGTTTAAATAAATTTGACTTACACGTATGTAATTTCCCTCTATAAAAATATATTATCCACGGTAGATTTTTGTGTATATATAGTAATTTATGGTGGATCTCAAATTTCTCATAACACATATACGACAAATAACACTTAACTGTATATAAACCTTTATACAAAACAAGATGAAGATTGAAAATTGTTTACTCTACTCTCAATTCTTTCCATTATTCCGGTCACGTTTGCTCAATTGAGAGTCGGATTTTATAACAACTCATGCCCTAGTGCAGAAACTATCGTTCGGAATCTCGTTAGCGATGAGTTCGAGAGTGACCCTACGATTGCAGCCGCTTTGCTTCGGATGAATTTTCACGACTGTTTTGTTGGGGTATGAGTCTCATCGAACATTATTCCAAAAATTGTATTGACATTTTGATATGTTGAGACTAATTTCAATTCGAGTGTCGGAGTGTGAAACCTCAAATACATAAAATGAGAATTTTAGGTTTTAATTGGTTTGTGCTTAGAATAGAAATTAAATATTGTTTAAACATTGTGTTTTAAAAAACTTTTGGATCGATTGATTAATTTTGGTTAAAACACTTTACATATATCCTATAAGGCTGCGACGGTTCTATCCTATTAAACTCGACTGATTCAGAAAGATTCGTCGGTCCAAACTTGAGCGTGAGAGGCTTTGAGCTAATCGACGAGATCAAGACCGAGCTTGAGGCTCAGTGTCCATCAAACGTCTCGTGCGCTGACATAATGGCACTTGCCACACGTGACTCTGTGGCATTAGCCGGAGGGCCGAACTACAACATCACCACGGGACGACGTGATGGGTTGAAAACTAATGCGAGCGGCGTGTTTGACTTGTTGGACCAACCGCCTCCGTGGCTGCCTTTCTCAGTTTCTTTGGGGACAAAACGATGACCACGTTGGATGCAGTGGCTCTGTTGGGTGCACACACGGTTGGTGTAGGATCTTGTGGTCTATTCAGGAACCGGCTCACAAATTTCAACGGAACCGGACTTCCTGACCCATCCATGGACCCGGATTTGGTTGCCAAGTAAGCAAGACAAGCATAATTATAAATCATTTTCAAGTCCGAAATTCAGTTTTAAGTTTATACTTCACGGGACTAACTTTTGTCGTTTTTAACTTTATATTGTTGGTTTTAGAATATTAGTAGCTATAATGAAATCTAGTATGGATCGGTTTAGTACGATATCAGTTTTTGGTCCCTTTGTTTTGAATTCAGATTGTAGTCAAATCTATTTTTAATTTCACAAGAATTTAAATTTTGGTTTTGATTTTCTTTTTGAGTCGGTTTGAATTCAGATTTGGTTTTGTTTCCTCAGATAGCAAAAATTAAAATTACTTAAAACTAAATCAAAAGTCTTTTTCGTTTTTGATATTTTTTCTTTTGATTCATAGTAAGTCCATTAGGCAGTTGAATCATTGCTAATTAACTACCCTATCAACGAGAGAAAGATATAAGCGATGCATTAATTAGTAAACGAACGTAAGAGTTAATATTTGAAAGCTTTATGTATACAGTTTAACCAGTAAACAACTGGACTGGACAGGTCAACACCGTTGACTTTTGATAACGCATTCTTTGGGCAAATCCGAGCGAGGAGAGGAGTTTTGCAACTTGACCAGCGGCTCGCAACCGACGAAGCAACTTCTAGTGTGGTGGCTCAATACGCAGCTGACAACGACTTATTCAAACGCCAGTTTGCGATTGCGATGGTGAAATTGGGAGCCGTTAATGTCTACACCGGTGAAGACGGTGAGATCAGAACAAATTGTTGGGAATTCAACGATAATTAAATTTCCTTTTTTCCATATAATCTGATTCTTGACTGTTTGTTCGTGTGTGTGACTCTGTGTGTGTGTGTGTGTGTTTTTTTCCCGATTACTGTCAATAACTATATGTTATGTTGGTCAGATTTGGATGGGCTCGTGATGTGTTTGAGTTGCTATTTTAATTGTCTTTGTAATGAAATATTTGAAATTTAATTTCTTGATAAATAATTTTGATGTCAATTATATATATATATATATATATATATTTTTATAAAATATATATATTTACAAACCCGAAGTTATTGACTTCATTCAAATTGAAAATATACGTATATTCAAGTAATCCAATCGGTTCAGTCCGGTGACTCAGTAACTCTGGAAAAAATTGAGCCTCTGCCATAGTTTGGTGATAGAAAAAAACTTTTTGTGTTATCGTTGAATTACATACTGTAAATGATAAATGTTAGTGTTGTTGTATTCTTGTAGCTCACATACGTATTGCAGGCCTAAAAAAGTGCCCCAATACCCCCAAAAGTTTACGCTACAAGCCTACAACAACACTAACACAGCCTAAATGGGCCTCGTTACTTTGTTTTTGCCTTCACTAATCGGCCTTATTACAACAAGTCAATATTCATAGTATACAGTATACACTACTTATTAGTTATTATACACGTAAAATCTAATATGATTACATATTTTTGGAACGCACCCAAAAGTAAATATGAACGTTATCACTAGAAGTGTATAAACTCATAGTCTTACATAGTTAACTTTTCTTTTTTCAGTGTAGAGCTCATCAGTGCCGAGTGTACCGTCTTAATTGATGTCAAGGAATTCATACTATTAAAGTATTAATGTTCAGCGAAGTGTAACATAATAAATTACAGATTAAAACAATGTTAAAAGGAAAAAAAAAAAAAACTAAACATCGAATCGATATAGGACTTGATAAATTGATCGAATCTCATATGGATCCCAAAAATGACATTTTTCTTGAAGTATGAAAAGCGCCAATGTCAAAAGATCAAATATGCATATGCCTTCTTTATCCTAATAATAACCCAGAG